AGAGACGAGCTAGCGGACCCACCCACTCCACACCCACTGTGCGGCAAATAAAAGAGTTCTTTTATTTGCCGCACAGTATCATTCGGACAGCTGCCCCCCCCCCCAGCTGCCGCAGTCCGTCACGTTGTCCTTAAGCTGCATTGTCTTTTAATGTCTGGCAGGCCGCACTGGAGTGCAAGCACGTCGGCAACGCTCATCCTCAAAAAACAAGCTTCGGTTCAGCACATGATGGCTTTGTGTTACGTTGAAAATAATCAAATGATGCGTTGACGGAAGCTGCATCGCATAATGACAACATTGCAAAGTGATCGGTAGCTGAGCACACAAACTTGGCACGGAATCCTACAAGAGACAAATTGTTTCCCAATCATTTTTGCTCTTTTTACAAGAATCGGTTCAGAGTTCAAGCATAAAGCTAAACTCCTATCTTCAAGTTGTTGCCGCATCAAACCAATCAGCCAAACTTTATGCAGCAGAATTGTGACGATGCAAATTTGCTGGTTAATTCATGACGAAAGAAAACTTGGTTCTGGTATGTCATATTTTAACTGAGATGACGTTAGAAGACACGCAGATGTTTTTAGGTGGATTTAGTTGTCTTGTTTTCATGGCTTTAGATTGAAGCTAAAACTAAGCTTAATGGCAACAACTGATGATCGCAGCAAAAGAAAACAAACTCCCAAATGTCAAATATTAATTAACTTAATTTTACAAGACATACGGCGGATTTGGGGTGAATGTTTTACTGTTTAATTCGTGGCTGTGTTAAAGCTAAAGCTAATTAACTGGTTAGCTCACGGTCAAAGAAAGCTAATTTCACGCATGGCGCACACCTGGACGTCGTATATGAATCAACATACTTTAGAACGCATTTTGTTCCGTTGACTTTTTTTCCTCTCTCCATGCTTTCGTGTCAATGATTAAATCAACTGCTTTAAACAACAAAGCTTATGAGTAGTACAAAAGTAGTTAGGACTGCATAACTGTACGTGTTTTATGTTGTGTTCATTATTGTACTTTATGTTCGTGTTTTATGTTGTGTGTTGTGTCTATTATTTTACTTTATGTTAACTGTTTTGTAAAGCGCTTTTTTACAGCTGCCGCTGTTGTGAAAGCGCTATATAAATCAGAATGTGTTGTATTGTAGTGTATAAACAGTTCAAACTGCTGAAGAAAGTTAGCTTCATGTACAACAGCAAAGGTGTGTCGCAGTTTAAATCGAGATCACACAAGAAAAAAAAAGTGCAAGCTTTTGTCCTATTCTGAAGTGACATCCGTTTCAAAGACAAAGGGGCTTTAAGATGGATTCTGTTTGGGGTTTGTTTTTTATGGCTCTGTGTATGTTAATCAGCAACTCCTGATGAATGCATCACACTTAAACACAAAACAATGCAGAATTATAAATTCATCAAATGGTTCTGTTATTTGTGTCTTTTTAAAAAGCACGAATTCAAAACCATTCTTTGAACGCAACCTTTTCGAGCTTCCTAATGACTCATGTTGGGTCGTCATGTATGAATATAAGTTTTTGTTCGATTGCACGCCTGTCATTTGAATGTATGTGAATACCCTCTTAGCTTTCACTCCAGCATCAGGACTGCAGAAGTCGATTTTATTCATGATGATGACAAAGATGAAATAAAATGGCGCCGCGAGAGTGGCTGCCTTTCCAGCAGCTCCTATATTTTGTTGTTCTACTTCTTCCTTTCATAACTTCGCTGCTATGAATTGGGAATTTCTCCATTGCGAGACTAATATAAAGGGTTTCTTATTTAAAACCTTTGCTCAAATCTATGTGTTTGGTTACACCTGGTCGCTAAATGCGGTACCGCAACAATAGCTCTTTTGCGTTTTCAATAGAAATGCAGTTTGTGGCCCATTTCGGAATGTATTGCATCAAGTTTATGTTATGTGTTGTGTTTATAATTTTGTTAAGCGCTTTGTTACAGCTGCTGCTGTTGTGAAAGCGCTATATAAATCAGGATGTCAAACATGTACCCGTGTCATTTCCAACATAAGGACATTCTGTTATAAGGAGACACCCTTCGGATGTTTGGGGTTTTAAATTCGGCGATTAAAATACTACGTGTATTACAGTTAAATACTTACCCGTTACACTCTTGGCAAAAGGAACGTGAGCTATTATTAGCCATCCAGGAAGGCATCGACAAGTCAGCCATTTTCATTCTGCCTAGGGTGACAACCTGAATTTAGCCACTAGGTGACGACAGAAACAAAGTCAAACCGGAGATCAAATCCATGTTCAAGGTGTTTTAATGTCACTTCTTTTCGTTTTTCAACATTTATTTTCCAGCTCGAATTATATTGTTACCACAGCTTTTAGATGTACATCATGAATACTTTGTTTCTCTCTTAGTGGAATCACAGGTTAAAATAAAAAACAGCCACATTGTAGAAAAACAACTACTATATATATTTTTTTTGTCTCAACTTTCATTATGTGACAAGACTTGGAGATAATCTTTAAAAAAATGACGATTAGGAGCATGGGAAGACGTTTTAAAAACATTATGAAAGGTATCGAACGCTCGTTGAACGTAGCATGATGCGGCTGAAGAGAATAGTTAGCCTACAAATGTAAGATTGTCTCGCTGACACGAGAAATGGTGGTTAAACCCATGAATTCAAACGTGCTAATGCTGTACATGGTCAGAAATTAGGCGACTTTCAAAGTTGACTATGACACTCTCACAATGCTAATGCTAATGACCTATGCCGGATTGTTAAAACGATGCGATTCTGGCCAGTTCACTGACTTGGGAGACACCCTGCGCATTTCTTAAAAATGTTGCCATTCCTGTCCAAGCACAACAAATTGTTTACCTGTAAAAGTACAAGCTAGTGTGTATATTAACATCCCTTCTCTGACAAGGTGTGCAACTCACGATGCACAAGTGCATAGATGGAGGACATTGAGACTTAAAACAACCTTCCGTTGAAACGGCAGCGGTCTAAGAATGCAAATATTAGACCCCCAATAAAAGTAAACTAAGACAAAGCACGACCGTAGCATTTTTGCTAACCAAGGTCAACTTTTGCAATATCCGGAGCCTTTCTTCACACAAAAATGACATCGCCAACTTTAGTTATCTTGTGTGTGAGATTGTTTACGTGACAAAAACGTTTCAACTGAATTGTTGGGGCGTTTTTGTTTTTGTTTTTTTTTGGGGGGGGGGAGTGGAGGGCATTTGACCCATGAAAATAATCAAACGGCCGTAAAATTGTCCTTTCATTTAAACAGCAACAACGTAAAATGTAAATACAGGGAGAAAAAATGGAAGTTACTGCTCGGCTGCCATTGTGAAAATGTATGCCTAGCATGTGTGTGTGAGATCGCTCACGGCTAAAAATTGCATTTTTTTCAAATTATTTATTTTTAGTCAACAGGCTAAAGGAAGAAAAAAAAAAGTGGAAGGTCCTGTAATATTTCCGAACAAGCAAAACAATAAAAACGACTGTCTAAGCATTGCCAACGACTTGTGAATGGGGATGGTTTGAACTTGTATGTGAATCAACCCCCCCCCAAAAAGTTTTCATTGCTTAAACATACGCCAAGTGTGTGTGTGTGTGTGTATAGCATTGTTTATGGCTAAAAACGTTTTTATACAACCACACATTAAAAACACACATTTTGGAAAAAGTGGACATTAACATTCCCCCCTAAACGCAAAAAAAACCAAAAGAACTATCCTAGTGTTTATCTTAACGGCGCTTTTTCGACAAGTCTACATATGATGCAAAAAGACACTGCCACCTACTGGCACTTTTTTCTTTCTTTCCACATCTGTGTGACGATCGGTTAGCATTTCACGTTCAATTTACATAATGGTTAATGGATAAAAACGGCCTTCTGATCGGAACTATTTGAAAAAGTTGAAATTACTGTTACCGACGAAAGACGTTTGGCTCAAGCGTGTGAGTCCGTGCGTGCGGAGAGGCCGTATAGCTTCAATGTAAACACAGTTGAATAAGATGCGGCGCTCAACCCGCCGCTGAGATGTGTCTCTCTCTCACACACACACACACACACACACACACACACACACACACACACACACACACACAAAAACTATAGTCTTCACATATTGTACAGTAGCAGGAGCAACATTGGCAGTGTCCCATTTAGCCTTCAAAAAGTCGCCTCGGAGAAAAAAAAATGTGCTTATGAGGACTCCAAAAAAAAAAAGTTCATCACAGTATCACTCGTGGTAAAATATTTGGGAAGAAAAAAAAAAACAAAACAAAAAAAAAAAAAACAACCTTTTTTTCCCCCCTTGCCAGCTCATGGTAAGTAGCACCAAGCAAACAATTAAACAATTTCCTGCTTTTCCCATAGTCCTCCCTATTGCTGCTTTGATCCTTATCAATTAAAAAAAAAAGGTGTATATATATATATATATATATATATATATATATATATATATATACACACACACACACACACACAGAAAGTATCCGGTAACCGTTTTCCTGGCATCATTTTCAGGCACCCTCGTTTATTTTGGCACGTGGTCGGCCTCTCAGTTGAAATTCCAGAAAAAAGGGGAGTTGTATGGTCCAGTCTTCGGTGTTATTATGATCCTGATGTTGGACTAAACAAGTTTGCGTGTGTGTGTGTGGGTGGGTGTGTGTGTGTGTGTGTGTGTGTGTGTGTGTGTGTGTGAGTGAGTGAGAGACACAGCAATATAAGTGCACGGCACAGCACATCACCAGTTATTAACTCAGTGGTGGAGTTATAATTCATATTTACAGCTTCTGTACAGTGTGTGTGCGCGCATGCGTGCGTGCGTGTGCAAATTTAATGTGTATCATGATGGGTCACTAGTGGACCGAAGACTGCGGCCGGGCGGCGGCGTGGGGCCGGTTGGCTGGGTCCAGCTGGTCGTTGGGGACGGAGCGGCGGTTCTGGTCGGGGCGGTTGGTGGCCAAGTATTTGGCTCTCATACTGGAGGTGTACTGAGGACCGCCGGGAAGGAGGGGGTGGTAGATGTCAAAGGACAGAAAAGAAGAAGAAGACCAAAGAAAGGCGTTTTACATGGAATAAATGCAGCCGAGTTGTGTTTGAATTGTGTGTGTGTTGAGGAGAAGGGTCAAAGTGGAAGGATTGGTGGGTGGGTAGAGAGGTTGAGCGCACGGCTAAGTGGCTAGATAGGCAGGAAGCAAGATGGTAGGTAGGTACGCTGGTCAGTCGCTCGGGCATTCGAAAGGCTAAAAAGACGGACGATTTGGTCAGTCGGTAGAGATGTGGAGCGTGTAGGTAAGTTGGTAGGTCGGTGGGACACATGGTTCAGTCGGTGAGCAGAAAAGGACACAAGCAGAAGAAGATTGGCTGGTCCATGCTTTGGTAGGTGGGTGGAACACTTAAGTAGGTAGGGAGGCCCGCAAGTCCGGTGCAACACATGGGTAAGCTGATGGAAAGGGAGCTCGGGAGGAAGCTAAGGAGATAGCAGTAGAGGACATCAGTCGGTCAGTCACTGGCTGGAACATGCCTAAGTTGGTAGGCAGGGAGAGAAGCGAGAAGAAAAGGACGGACAAAAGCGATCGGTGGAACACTCGGGTCACTTGGTAGCTAGTTGGTTCACAGGTAGGGTGGAACACAAGGCTGAGTTGGTAGAAAGGTAGGAGGCTCACTAAATAGGCCCAGAGGAGATCGCTCAATCAATCAATGTTTGCTCGGTTACTCGGTCAGGTGAGTGGAAGACAGGGAGAAGTTGCCAGCTGGGGAGGGCGTCGGCAGGGCGGAACACAAGCGGGAGCCGCGCGAGTCGATAGGAAGGGAGAAGATCGTTTGACAGAGAAACGAACACTTCAGGAAGACGGCAAGTCGCTCGCTCATCTGGTCGAGTGCTGGGGTGGAACGCATGGGGAACTTTGCAGGAGGAGTGGCCAGTAGAAAGGAGGTTTTTCGATCGGCCGGTCGTTAAGCTGGCAGGCGGGGAGGTCGCGCGGGTGCTCGCTCGGCCGTCAGGTCCATTGTCCGGTCAGGTCGGTCAGTCGGTCGGTCGGTCGGTGGAACACAGGGCCCAGTTAGTAGGTCGATGGATGACGGCGACAGACATATTTGGACCAGTCATTTGGACAGCCGGGGTTTGATCACAGACATTAATTGACAATCAATTAGGCGGAGATGAGGTTATTGTCATCGATTAAACGGTTAGTGCTCTAGTTCTGACGTTAGCCTGCTAACCAGTAAGCCGCAAATCATCGAGCGAGCATGTAGCATGTGCGCTCCGCAACAAGGACACACACACACACCTCCACTCAAATGAGCATGCGGCTGAATTACAAAGGAGGCCCCACTTTGACAGTGCAAGCTGGATAAGAACAGGACATCGCAGACAAAATTAGATGTGCCCATCAAAATGTTGCACACCCAGGGGGTCCTTCCAATATCCACAGATGACAAACATCCAGTTGATGGCGTGGCTTATTGGAAGGCGGCATGCGTGCGAGGGTGGGGGGGGGGGGGTTCTAGAAAGTGTGCACTTACAGAGGGTGGAGGGGACTCCCTGCCAATCAAGGGGGTGTTCTCACACCGGGGGGTCTGAAAGTTTGCGTTCTGGTTCCTGCGTTGTAGAATCAGAGGTTACTGCGGGCGGCGGGCAGACGGCTAGCGGCTTGGCTTACTCAACTGCAGCGTGTCAGGCTTGCCAAAAACAAATCTGGAATCTTTTAGCGCGATTGCCTTTTGGTTTCTGATTTGGCGGCGGCGCGAAGCAGGCGGCCCGCTAATTCGTCCGCGCATCCCGAGGGAAACGCTAAGCCATCCAAGTCATCAAGGCCGTAGAGATTTGGAAGGGCCTCCACGTGCGCAGACTAGTGGTGAAAGTTGCGTGACGTGACGTTACTTTGGTGCCCGACCGCTGTGGCTCGCACTCCGACAAAGCTTCAAGCAATGGCTCAGCATCCTCCGCGAGAATGCCGCAACGCGCGACTCGGCGGATCATTGATTTCGCCGCCATTCGATCGATAAGGGGGACCCGAATATTGTGGCGCTGACGAAAAGTGGCACTCCACGACAGCGGCCGCTCACGAAGGATGTGGCCGTCTGTGATTTTGGTACTTGACCGTTGGGGACGGTACCCCAATGAAGGTGGCGAAAAGTGCTTCGCTCCAGATTCGCCATTTTGCTCGACTACAATTGAGGGTGGAAAAAAGTCCCTGTGGACGCAGGGAGCCACAAAGCGCTACGCTCACGTGTTTCCGGCGCCCTCCCGCTGAGAATGCAGGGTGCCAAAGAGTTGGACTGTGTCCCAGGACCGGGGATGGCATTGCCAAAAAGTGGGACTCGACGGATCAATTCTTTTGGTGCCCTAGCGCTGCAAATTTAGAGTGGTCCCATCAAATCCGATGGCAGCCGGCAGCTATTTTGGGATCCGATCTTTGCGGAGGGCAACCTGATCCTGGTTGCCAAAGATTTTTACTGACAACGGCACCCGCATGATGGCTGCACTGACACTGAAAGTGAAAGGTACCCAAAGATCTGTTTTTTAATGTCCTACCGCTGCAGATGGCACTTCAAAAAGTGGTGCTCAGCAGATCCGTATGTTTTGGGGACTGATGTTTGGCACCCCGACACTGAATATGGGGTTGAACTCTACAAATCAATTATTTTGGGTACGCTCCCACCGTGACGTTCATCGCAGTTTGGATTTGTATTCATTTCGGGATCCCGACCAGAGGGTAGTCAAACATTTTTGGGCTGCTGCTAGCTAGCGTGGTGCGCTAACTCACATGTACTCAGTGACGGGGGCATTGCTGACGGTGTGGGCGGTGGCGGGCAGGCTAGCTTCGCTACCGTAGCTGGAGCCGCAGCTGTAGAGACTGGGCATGTGAACGCGGTACAGGTTATCGTGAACACCGCCGCCCCGCGAGGCGCCCGACTCGTCCTCTCCGTCCTCCTC